GAGAGTGTGCAACTTGAAAATGGAAACACCAAGAGGCGGAGGCTGACCTAGAAGATGGATTGAAGGAGTCACTGACGGCCTAAAACTTTGCAGCATATCAAGCAACCAACCCAGCACTATCTGTCATCTGTTGAACTGAGGTGACTGGTGGAGCAAAGCAGATATTGAAAAAAGAAGAACAGAAATAATGACAGAATTCTTGCTGTATAATTTGTAGACTGGTGTTTTATGGTGTTTAACTTGATTGGTTGCAGTTGTTTCACATCATCTCCGAATTGTATAGTCGAAGTCCTGGCAGCAATAAGGAGCTGAGGAAGTGGGCCTATGAGATATTTTCTACGTTCATATACAAGGTGGCGGTAAGTATATCTGTATGTCTGATATCCGCATGATTTGATGTCTCACAACTATATATGAGTTGTCTCATAATTTTGAATGGGTAGATGTCTTCTAAGTTCCTGTGAGGTGATGTCTTTTAAGTACTTAGATCTAGCCCTATATGCCTAATACACTTGATGGCGGGGAAAAGGGTTCTTTACTTACTTTTTAAAAGTATCTATGAGTTGATGTCTCATAAGTATGTGTTTTTTGATGTGTCATAAGTGTGTATGGATTGATGAAAGTATCTGTGAGTTAATGTCTTGGCCCACAATCTCCTGTCTACAATGAGTAGTCTACATTTAACTTACTGTGGGTTTCTCATTTTATGCCTTCCAATCCTCCAGTGAAATCTGTAAAAAAAGAATTCTTGTGTTTTGCCTTAACAGTTCTTAGGTGTATTCAACCCAAAATCTGTGATTTAACTGGCCCACAATCTCCTATATAATTTTCTCTTATTGTTTCAGGTAGCCATCTTTCAGTCATTCATGCAACTACGTTATAGCTTCTCATTAAACTTCCCCAAATCTCTGTACACAGTCTCCTTTGTAATTGACTTCCGGTCAGTATTGCGGATAGGCAGGTTTAGAGGTTTCAGTTGTCCCAAGTTTTTGCTTCTGTCTGTAGTTAGCTGCAGTTTCTTCCATATGTAGACTAAAAGGATTTAGTTGTGCCGCCCAGCTACTGAGTTGAGTGCATGTTGCGACATTGTGGATTTAATTTGGAATGCTTTTTGACTGTGCTCACTGTGGGTTGTATGGTGAACTGCGGTTTTAGAAAATGGCCAGTTGTGTTTTGCCTTATGGGACTAGTTTCATGTGCAACCACTTATTTGTTGTAACTGCTGCTTCAATTGACAGTGAAACTGCATTTCTAGTGTTGGACTGTTTGTGTTGGTTCTTCTGATGACTGCCTTATGCATTTATGAGTCTGTAGACTTTTGGCTTTGTCTATGTAAATTTTTCCACATTGGACAGTGATGGACATTTTGTGGTTTTCGTTGTCACAGAAACGGAGCAGCTATGGGGTGACCTGTTTGACATGAGGTTTGGTAACTGTGGTTACCTGATTACCCACCTTTGTAATTCTCTGTTTCTAACAAGTGGACAGTCTACACAATCTTGCATGTACAATCATTTTATTTTTATTGATTTGAATGTCATTTTTCATGCATTGAGGGAGTGGAGATGAAGTCAGCATTGTACTGTCCACCTCTTTACTTCCCAGGACATTACCTGGTACCCATTTTAAGCTGAGTCGATCTAGAAGCCAAGTCAGTTTTGAAGAATAAAAAATAAATAATAATCAAGTCTCGTTGTGGATTGGAACCCTAGACCCTGGGGATGGCAAGTGAGCATCAGACCACTGTGCTACTACCACAACTCCAATTTTCCGTGTAACTAGCCCATTATCATCTGTGCAGCTATCTCTTGGTTTTATCATTCTCTACTTCTGACATGCTCACTGGCTGCCCAAGTAATTTCCAATTTCTGTTCCTTCCTTGACAGCCTCTGAGTATATCAGTGGATGACAACACCATCAGCCAGATCGACAACATCCTGGCCAGCAGTGGCAGCCGGGCGGACAATGAGAATGTGCTGCGTGGCATGTTCCAGGCTCCCAGGCAGTTTGTGCAGGCGGAAATTGCTGATCTGCTCTGTGATTTTAGGACTAGGAAGGACCTAGGTCAGTTTGTTGTGTGCATGTTGATGAGCTATTTCTACTTATTTTGCTGTGTCTCTCCTGCTGTCCTTTTTTCAACTGTTTTCATCTCACCCTGTTCCTTATGTGGGTCCTGTGGGCTCCATTTTGGAGAGCAAAGAATAGACAGCCCCTCCTCCCCCCTTCGCCACAAGCATGTTGAGGGAGGTGACTAATTAGGGGTGTTTCCTTCAAAGTCGATGCAGCTGCCTGAGAGGCAAAGAATCAACAGTCTGCATACATATAAGCCATATCTGTAAAATGGATGTGCACGTAGAACTGAAGTTCTGGATCAAGATCAAAGTCCAGAAGTGAACGAACAACCAGAACTTTCCACTGGAGTTTACAGCCAGTGAGTGCTGAGAACAAGAAAATGATGTCCTGTTGGAGCATAGGTTATTGTTCAGCTGATAAGCCCTTCATCGACTTTTTCAAGATTGTTTGGATTTCACAGGTAACAATTTTCTGTAGAATGAGGTATCCAGTCTTGGGCCACCCTTTCTTAGTAAGTTGCTTGTTTTGGCATGCATAGTAGTTGACATTGTTATGAGTTTTTATTCTCTCTTAGTGCAGAATATCCCTCTGAGAGGGCAGTAATGGCCTGATCCCCTGTGTTCATGCACCGATAGGACTTAGACATAGGACCACCAGGTTGGTAGACAAGTGAACTAGTTACTAATTCGTACCTCTTGAGTTAAAGCACAGAGGCTGAATTAAAAATGCTTGGAGTTAAAATATTTGATAGGGTCTCTGTGGTTATGCTGTTTTCCTTGTCCTATGAAGGTCATGGATTTGTTTCATGGACTGTGTCATTCAGTTCATGAAATGCAATTATTATGGTAATAACTGGAGATTATGGTTGTAGCTACAGAGTGTGTGCTTTTCATCTGCAGCAGTTGTTGGCTGTTCATGGTTTTGCTAGGCATTTACATTCATCAGAACATAGTCATTGCTTTCTGAATGGTTGACTGTCCATGTTATTGTCAAAATCCATGCAAAGCAAGTCTACTGCCAAATCACTTGCCACTGTCCGACCACGTATTAAAGAATTATAAACCTTGTTCATAACTCCTAAGCTATAGATGCCAGCATATAGAATAAATTGTGATTTAGTCAGTCCGTCAGCTTGACTTCAAACCATTTGAGTAGGGGAGTACAATGAACATGCAAGGGCTTCTCTCTCTAAAAAAAATTCATTCTCTCGGTTGATTTCTTTGGCATGTAGTCTTCACTTCCTTGGATGTTAAAAAAACCCATACAGTACACACACCAGCTGTGATATTAAGTGCTGTGGTTATAATGTTTATTCATTGAGCGAGAGTCTTCCTCTTTTCTGTGTCCAGGAATGGGAACCTTGTATGGCATTCAAAAGATCTTCGACAACATGGACAGACCAGCAGAGGTCCGGGTGGCTGAGGAACTGCTGGTGCCCCATCTCAGAAATGTTGGGTGAGTGACTGCAGTAGTATTTTTGTGTGTATGACAGCAGGTGATGTGACATGTCTTCTCTTCCTACTCTGCCTCTTTAGTTCCTGTTCTGCTTTTCAGCATCAGGTTTTGAAGTGTAATCCGGTGCTAGCCTTGATGTGTGCTACATAGATGCTTGTATTGATGACCCCAGATATTCCACCCGTCCGTCACTTGCTCTGGCTCTGCTTCTGTTGTTTTTAAGTGACAGCACTCTCTGTAGTGCACTGTCCTTCAGAAGTCTTGTCACGTGTCTGAACCATTTGATCGGTTATCGCTTGATGTGGTTTAGCATTAGTTCTGCCTCCTCTTGTTTCTTAATATCATCGTTTCTGATGCTGTCATTTAGGATTTTTCTGGGAAATTTCACTTCTACAGTCTCTTCTGGCCATTATTCCCAGATGGTGTATAGACCCTCAAGAAACTCACACCACAACTCATACTATCCTTTGTGTCTTTATAGTGATAGAACTATATTTTTAAAATACAATAGGCACTCAGTGGGTGATATGGTCACGCTCACCTCTCCGGCCACCTTCACTTCCTAGGGCTCACACCTGGTACCCATTTATGCTGGATTGACCTGATAGGCTCAGTTTTTAAAGAAATCCACTTGATCAGATTTGAACCCTACACTTTTGGGCCAGCAGGCAAGCAGCTATACAGTATGCTGTAGCAGCTTCCGAAGGGAAATATATGATTTGTTCAATAACATTTTATTAATTTAATTTTAGACATTAAAAGTTGGTTCCATATCTTTTTCAGGACCTCACCAACCAGCATAGACACTCATTGGTTGTTGTGTAGTTTTTAATCTTGAAGAAAGAAAATGGGGCTTTTTAGTTGAAATGAAGCTAGAAGATTTTTAGAATGCTATGGAACAAGAACAAAAAGAAAACTGACATTCTAAAAGATCTGAGGGCATGGGATGTAAGGGATACATTAGTCAGGAAAGTGCCTGAGGCAGGAGAGTTTGTGAGGGACTGAGTTCTCTTTAGCTGGGATGTAATGGGATCAGTCTTCTGTAACGGACCTGCTACATGATGATGTTGAGTGGTTTTACTAGGCATTGTTGGTGTTCAGTAGTTTTCATTGTTTTCTGAATGGTATAATGCTCATACTGTTGTTGCAACAATACAAATAAGTCTACTATTAAAATGCTCGCAGCTGACTGTTATTCCTGGATTGGCAGGATTGTGAATTTGTGTCCACAACCCTTGTGCGGCAGACAGTGGACATATAATTGATTGAAATATGGCATTTGCATAAATGGTCTAACATTACATTGTAGTTGATTGAGGTTGTTCTTGTTTCACAGGACTGAAGAAAGCAGCCACGGTGCCTTGGTGGATAGAGACTTGGCCACTGCCTGGGCTCTGGCCACCTACCTGCGCTCCCTGGGTGGACCCAAGTCGGTGTACTATGGCATGATTGAGAGAGTCCAGACATTCATGATGAAGGACAAGAAAAGCCTCAAGTTTCCAGGTTCACGCTCTAGCCGAGCAAAGGTATGGTAGTGACTTTTTGTTTGCATTAACAAGTTCAAAATCTTGTTGTTACAATGTGAGCATTGTAGCCTTTTTTTTTTTTCAGTATAAGCACATGAACATCTTTTTTAAATGTAAATATTTGAGAATCGTTAAACTGTAATTTTAAAAACCTCAAAGTTACCATATAATCATTACCATTTCTTGTTACATTGTAAGCATTAGAGCTTGTTTCAATATAGACATGGAAGCCTGATTGTTACAATTTAAGCATCGGAGCTCATTACTGTATAAGCATTAGAGCCTCTTGTTACAGTGTGGGCATAGGAACGTTGTGATCAAAATATATCACCAGTCTCACTGTCAGAGTGAAAGTTCCTCTTGCCCTCAGGCAAGAAGCTATTGATGAGGACACACAGACCTTGTAATCAAAATTGTCCCCGACTGTTGCAGTCTCACATCTGTTCATGTTCTTTTGCAGGCATTGAAAGGTCACCAGTTCAACTTGCAGCACTTCTACGTGACAACCTTCTGTACCTTCTGTGGCAACCTGGTCTGGGGAGTCGGCTACCAGGGCTATGTCTGCCAAAGTAAGTATATGTTGAAGAGGGCAAGAGAGAATGGTGGGAGACTTAGCAATGGGGATCTGTTTTTTTATTGGTCTGGGGAAGTCGGCTGCCAAGGCAGCTTCTGTCAAGAGTAAGTTTCCTTTGTAGATGGGGCATGAGAAGAGGGTGGGTGACTAGATAATGGGGATTTCTTTTCTTTGTGGTCTGGGGAGTCAGTTACCAGAACTACATCTGCCAGAATAAGTATACTTTGTAAATGTGCATGAGAGGAGGGTGGAAGACTTAGCAGCGGTGGATGTTTGTTGTGGGTCTGGTGGAGTTTGCTACCAGGGCTACATCTGTGAGAGTAAGTATACTTTGTAGAGGAATATGAGAGGACGGTAAGAAACTTAGCATGGGAATCTGTTTTGTTTTTGGTCTGGGGAAGTCGGCTACAAAGGCTTGTCTGTCAGAGTAAGGGTCCTTGATAGAGGACATGAGAGGAGGGTGGGAGACTTAGCAATGGTGGATCTTTGTTGTTAACCTGGGGGAGTCAGCTACCAGGGTTGTGTCTTTCAAAGTAAGTATACTTTGTTGAGGGGCATGAAAGGAGGTGGGCAACTTAGCATTGGTGGTCTGTCTTGTTGTGGCTAAAGCAGTTTCTTCACATCAAACCTTCCTGGTCATGTCACAGTATCCTACATTAAATTATCATTATTTCAGGAGTATCCTGTCATATCAAACTATACAATCATGTCTACAGTTTCATCTGGCTATAGATAAGACCTTTCTAAGTTGTATTTTGGCGCAATGTTGCTAAGCTGTGATATCTGTGCCTTTCAGCCCAACTTATCTGATTTAAGCTAACCCTTAATGAGTCACTTTTTATAACAGGCTTGGTGGTGGTGGGGGGGGGGGGGGGGTGGGTGAGGGGCTTGATCCCTCCCCCGCTCCCAAAGAGAGTGCGCCCTGGAACCAACACAGGAAGAGTGCCTACTTCCATTGTACACACTGCTGAGAAACCTTTCTTTAGCCTTGTGTACATACTGCTGTTGCGTCTGCTGTGTCCTTTTCTGAAGATAGTATTTTATGAAGTTATTTTATGTTCTTTTGTCAGTACCTGCATATTTGCCTCTAGATGTCAAACTTTTCACGCTCGGTTGCTTTGCTTTTTATGCTGTAATGTTATGAAGCCTTAGACTGTTGCATACTTTCAATTTCTAAAAATAAAAAAAATTTTTTAGTGGTATATAATTGGAAGATCTGGTTGTGTCTGTCCTAGTGTCTAATTTATCTATTGGTTGGCCCTATCATTTCCTCGTGTACCCCAAGTCTGATTCATTATCTGCTGTGAAGTTTTTTCTAATTTTTTTTTTATTGACACAATTTAAAATTCTGCCTGCAGACTGTGAAATCGTTCTACACAAGACCTGTGCTGAGGAAATCACAGAAACCTGTTGTGGCAAGAAGAAAATTCGACCCCGAATACAGATACCTGGGGTCATACAGACCCGAAGACAGAGTTCAAATGTTTCAGGTACTTTAACCTTATATGTTGATTCTATTCTGGGTTAAATTAATTTTTTTTTTGGTTTACTTTATGCCTGTTTTAGTTACACCTTCTTTATATATTTTTCTTTGCTTGCTTAGGTATGCCACTTGCAAACTTACTTTCTTTGTGACATTTTTTTTTTAACTTGTGTGCATGCATGTTATGCGTGTTTATATGTATACACACAAAGTCGGCAGTGTTGCATTCTCTCTCATTTCTGTTTAATATCTACAGAGAAAATATAATGAGAATTGGGAAAGTCATGAAACCTGTGATACTTTAAAACAATAATTGTTGAAATCAAATACTAAACCTCAAATATAATTATCATGATTCTTCTCACATATGGTGCTAAAAGGATTAGAACTGTTCAATTGTGTGAAACAGGGTTATGAGTTGGATTTTTTTCACAGCTCTGTGGACACATCCATAAGTGCTTAGATTCCTCTTTCAACATATTCATCAGCGTCATGCGGTTAATAGTGCCAGTCCTATGCTAGTTATCAATACTTCTTGTGTGTCCGATGTGCCTCTTATGCTTGGCTGTGCTGGTCTTCACTCCCAATTCATGTATTCTTAGCAGTGATGTGACTATATTGCTTCCAAAATCCATGGAATGTCCTATCTCTCTAAGAGCATTGACAATGTCTGCATGATTCATAGGTGGGCCATCTGCAACTAATGCAGAACTTGCCAATCTATCAGCTCTGTCATTGCCAACACCGGCATGTCCTGGGATAAATATTAATGTAACTGCACACAGGAGAGTTTTCCAATGACTCAGTCCACTGTCTGCCTATGGAGCCTGCCTCGACCCACCAGATCAAGATCATAGACACACTTAGCACACACAACGCGGGAATAGTCCTGTGATTCTAGCCAATGAAAGCTTGTGTAACTGCCATTACCTCCATCATCACACTGCTGGTAATCATGGAGAAGGCACCGCTGGCTTTTTGGACTGTTCTGCCTGAAAAGTGAGCTGTAAATGTCCATGCTTTCTAATGTCCTTATATAACGGACCCATCTGTGTAGATCAGCACATCTGTCTCATCTGACTTGTCACTGATAAGCTCACGGAGCTTGGCTTTGACAGCAATGGAATTCTACTCCGGACAACTCCTGTCAAGCATGACGACACAGGAGAAGGTGGGATTGAGTGCTTTAGGCACTTGTATCCATTCTTCACCAGGGTGGATGTCTGTAAGACTGCAGACCTGCTTGATGTCATCCTTTGCCCTACCCAGCCATGATTTGCCCGTTTTTATTCTGCTGCTCCTTTTCCTGAAGAACACGTAGGGCAAAGGGTGCTTCAGATTGGAGCGGAACTTAAGATATGCGCAAGCCCTCCAAATCTTGATCCTGTAGTTCATGGTAGGAAAGTCAGTGTGTCTCATTGCTGCACAAGAGATATCTTGCACACCCCTGAATAATGCACATGGCTTCATTGTGTACCTTTTCAAGTCTTTCAACCTGACTATAGCTAACAGTGAGAACGGCTAGAGCATATTTAGTGGGAGGAAGAACAAGACCCTGGAAGGGAAGCAGACATGTGCATTAGAATCTACACACCAGGAGGAGATGCAATCAGGTTCACTCTACACTGAATTGGCAATTGGTTGACAATCTCTTCCACTGTCCTGCCAATCTCATGCAACTGCTGCTCAGTTATCAGAACTAAATATACTTTGAATAGAATTGGAGACAATGGAGAACCTTGAGGCAATCCCGGACAGATAGTTATCGGTTCTGAGGACCAGCCACCACACCTGTGTTTCATCAATCTCTGGAACAGTGCCGCGGCTATTCAGGGTGAAGAGCCACACCAGCAAACAAATAAAAGCAAAAAAATATAGAAGAAAAACTGGTTAATGATCAAGAGTCTTTTCAGTAGGCTATGTTGAGAGTGGCAATCTTCAGAGATTTGGTTACATGATGGTAACCCTCCTTTTCTGCCTTATTTCATTTAAATAATGCGAACACAAACACTGTTGCATAATTTGTTGCCTGGCATATCTCTTCAAGTGCATTACTACAGAGCTACAGCACATAATAAACTGCAAATTACTGCATGTATTTACCACTTGGGGGGGGGGGGGGGGGGGGGGGTCTTTTAATCTATAATCCACATGGCTAGTGCTGTCACCACGGACAGGAACAGATTTTTTGTGGGCCCCCTACAGAAAAAAATCCATGACCTTACTAAGGATTTGAACCTGGTTCTTCTGTCTGAGAACCCAGCATTTTTAACTGTTAGGCCAGCCACTCCTCATACCAATATATAATAAAGGGCGTTTGATGAAAAAATGAATGCTTTTGGCTGAAATACAAAAATCACATTGACTTCTCTAGGTACACTGTACTGACCGGAAGTTCAAGATAGCCACCTGGTTACTATGGAAGCGTAACATTTACCACATGCACTTTATGTGTTCACACAATGTGGGATTGCTAATTTTGATTGTCACAGTTTCCACCATTTTCATTAATTAGTATTGGTGTGTGATAACAAAGGCACAGTGCCTATAAATTGGTTTATTTTCTAAATGCTTCTTTTTGTCAGTGTAACTTTTCTTCCATCTGATTTTGACAGTATTTTTTTATTTCCTGTCTAATATTTTCTGTCTGATTTCTTTGTTAGGTATTGATCTTCTGACTTTTGTCTGATTTTGAAATATTTATTTTGTTTTTTTCTGTCTATATTATTATTTTGGTTTCAGTATCTTTATTTTCAACTTGTGTGTATCAATTTTTCCTTCTCATATTCTTCTGTCATTCTTGCTCTTTGTGAGCCTTGTTTTTTAGTTTAGCCAATATCCCTCCCCCTCCCCTTTTTTTTTAAAACATCCTTTGCCTCTTGCTTTAGTCCTACTATATTTTTTCCACACTTGTGTTGTGTTTTCTTTTATTTCCCTCGTTTCCTTCCATATGATTTCTACTCTTGTCTTATCTCTCATTGAATGAATGAATATACCTTTTGTAAACCTGCCAGCATCTCTGGCAACTGATTTCAGTGAACATGAGTTTGCTGGCTCAATACTGTGTTGTAGGTGCTTCCTGGCAAGTCACAGACTCCTGCTAATAACGTCTTCTTGCCAAGGGACCAGGGAGCAATAATTGCTGGGCAAGATAGGCAGTTATAGACCAGGGGAGATAAACTCAAAATAAAGGGAAAGGATTAGTGGAAAAGGTGTGGGTTGGGTGGATAAGTTTCTCTCAAATTTAAGTTCGTCTTTGAGTTTTTGAAAGTGGTTCACCTACTTATACATGCTTCAGTTGTAGGGTGTTAGATTTATATAAATGATTCATATGTTGTACATGTATTACTGTAATAAATGGAGGATTTGTCAAATTCACAAAATGGTAAGTTATTATTCTTTTTTTTTCATTAACTGGCTGTAAACTCCTGCAGACTTATACATTTTCGTCATCCCCTTGTGGGAGGCAATATCTCATTATTTTGAAGCCCCGCCCTTGCTGTTGCCAAGGGCCACAATATAGCCTAATGGTTGAAAGGCGTTTTCCATTACCTCTCCGTCGGTGATCCTCAACCGCATTGTGGCACTTTGTGTCACCTGGTATTTATTGCTCTGTGTGATGTCCTGGTAGTGTAAAATTTACTTACTTATTCCAGCAGAAAGACTTAGTTGTTGGTCCACATCTGGACTTTTGTCTTATTTCAGGACATATCTGGTCTATTTGTGTTTTGATTATTGGTAATGTCCTCTCAAGTAGATGCACTCTGACTCTGAAGTAAACATCATCCCTATATATATGTTGGCCAGGCTCCCGTCTGGGACCCTGTTTCTAGGATGAATGCTGAGGGGTGTAAATAGGTTACATTTAGGGTTAAATTGTGGCTTTTATGTGCAGTTGTAGTTAAGCTGGTATGAACATCCTCTCAGCAGGAGAGAACAGCAGGTTACTTTGTTTAACTATAGAATACCCCACCAAGTATAACTGTTTTGTGTGGTTGAACAGGGTATCTAGGATTTCTTCCTGTTGGATTGGAATCTGAAAAGTTTCTCATTGAATCACTGTGTGTCAGACCGTCAGACCTGATTCTGGACGGGAAATTTAGAAAGAAAAAAATCATTGAACTGATTTTAATCTCTGCAATAGTTACTGAAGCTTTTGACTAAGGTTCACACATGATATCAGCAATATCAGCATCCCTATCCACACAAGACTGCAGGGTGCACTGAATAGCACAGGCTTTAGACATTGAGGTTCGAACTTTTTTTCTAGTTTTAAAATTCTGGAATGTGATTTTTTTTTCATCGAGGATGAAATTCTTGTAGTCTGTGGTGGTCATTCTTGTTTTTGGCACTTCTCCATCTTTCCAAGCGAAAAGCATTCTATTGTGCTGTAGGAAAGCATGTAATCATTCCTCTCCGGACCTGCTTCTTCCTAAAGTCTATGCCGTGTGGCATTGGTAGTCATGTCTATCCACAGATAATCCTCCGTCCCATGATGCCAGACTAACCAGCATCTTTTTCTCTCGGTCTTCCTCTGCCTCCCCCCCCCCCTCCCCTCTTTCCCAACTTTCCAACTGTCACTGTGTTCTCCAGTTTTCTTCTGCTTAGATAAATTGAAAATAAAGATAATATTAATGCGTTTGAAGCAAAGCATAGTGCAGAAGCTGGGGGAATCAGTAGAGCAGTGCCCTATCTGTCTGCCTGCCTGCCTGCCTGTCAGAGCTTCTCTTCTAGACTGGCAGTTTTCAGTTTGCATTTCCTTTTCCTAGGATAAAGCTAGTATACTCCTCAGTGCCCTCGCTTCCCAGAAGATGTTGGAACAAACTGTTTCTTTCTTACAGTTGTGAATATTCATCTATTTTCCTTAGCTACTTCCAGATACCTGTTGTTTTGATTATTCCAACAGTAATCACAACATCTCTTAAAAACCACACCTCTGCAGCTTCCACAGTGTTTATGATTTCAAAACACTGTTTTCCCTTTGCGAATTTAAATAATGCGGACACAACAGTATATTAGACAATTTATTGCCTGGCATATTTTACTGGGTCTCATCTGTTACATTGCTAAAGAGTTTCTACAAACATATCATGAAGCACACAATTAGTGAATTATTTTGAAGGACATATACAGATGACAGTGTCTTCTAATCACACTGTACATCTTATCAGTGGAAATACAAGATGCAGCCACATGATTACTACAGGATTTTCAAATTACCACATGTTCTTTTTGTTTGCAAAGAACAGAATTTTCATTTTTATTGTCGCAGCTTCACCAGTTTACAATATTTCAATAAATGCCTCTTGGTGTGTGTTACAAATTACATGATAGGCACAATCCCTATCAGTTACCTGTCTGGAGTTAGATAAATGACGCTGTATCAAAGAATTGGGTTCTTTCCTTTTGGTTGAGCCCTTGACACAGTTGCAAGATCTGCACTTTTTGTGTGTGTGGAGCCATTTAGGGGAATGGTCTGCTAATGTTTTTTAATTTGTTCCCATTTACACTCTGGCCTGCGCCCGCCACCCACTACTCTTCCCTCCTGTAAATATTGGGTGTCGGATCTGGTTTCTAAAGAATCATCTCCACTGCCCACATGATATAGCAAAGTGTATGAGGATGACAGAGATGAAAGCTTTTGATAATTATAGTCTTTTTTCTTCTTAAATTAAATTTTTGGGAATTTTCTGACCAGCAGAAGCATCTACATTTTTTTTAGCCATGTTGTGGTTGCCTTGGAGTTACTTGTCTCAGTTGGGTTTGCTGTTTTCATGTTTCAGCTCAGCAGCAACAGCCGCAGCCCCCATCAGAACCGCAGTCTACTACACCAGGCCGCAGTCCGTCCAATGCTGACGTCACCACACAGCCTTTCCCTAAAGAGGAGGACACTGACCTTAGTATGTTTCATCTAGAGTTGATATCTTCTTCTTAGCATTCACCGACTGTAAACTCCTGCAGAAAGTTCTGGTTGTTCATCCATTTATGGATATTTGGTCTTGTTCCAGTACTTGCATTTTGTGGACACATCATATTTACAGATCTGGCTTATTTTTATGCACACTACTTGTTCCTTGGAAGTCCCCGTGGCAGAGCGGCTAAATGCTCGCTGCAGATCGGAAGGTTGTGGGTTCCCTCCCTGGCGGCGCTGGACTTTTTTAAAAAATGACCTTGGCTCTCAGTTTGACCCAGCCTTGAGTAAGTACCGGTTGCAGTCCCGGGAAGTATAGGCTGCTGGCGTGATGTTGACCACATCACCCATCTTGTGCCGATTGGTCTATACAAATATAGGTCTAGCCCTATATGCGGGACTCAGATGTAACAGACTTTTGACTAGAACGTCCTTGAGGTTACGGTCATGTCTGTAGGCCACTAAAGTTCAGAGAAAATCTTGCTGGTGGCAGGGTCGGCTGCCGTATGGAGGTAGAGATGCCTAGGGGGAATATTGTTGGCACGCATGGTATGACAAAATCAAATAAAACCACAGAAATACATGAATCACTAACGGTGGTAAGTTTAAGGATAGTTCTCTAGATGTTGTGATGACGTTTGTAGGTTTGACCTTCGTCATTTTGGCGCAACGATTTTCAAGAGATTTGCAAGCTTTTCTCTGGAAAATGGCCTTAATAGACTGTCACCTCCATGTTATGGAGCTCGATGGATAGACTGTACTCGGTGAAAGGCAGCAGATAAGACATGTTCCAGATCCTCAAAGCTCGATGTAACCGCACTTTTGGCTTAAGTCGTCCAGCATTCAAAGACGGAAGAATCTAGGGTTCTATCCGCCCCGTATCCTTGTGGTGAAAGTCGTTCTCCTGTCATAGTCTGCGGAGATGTTGAAGCTGAGAGAAAGGAATGGAATCATTGCAGGAAGATGGATGAGAGGCCATGTACAGAAGGAAAGCATTGGAATCAGTAGGCTTATAATACACGGAGGTGCTGAAACCTTTAGAATTCAAGGTGCCGTGAGATGGTGAAATGCTGGAAGTGAATCGGATGCTAGGATGAAAGATGGAAAAAAAAAGGTGAATGAAATCCTGCATTTCAGGTGCAGCATTTCCGTGAAACCAATGCAGTCATTGACATACCTCCCGTAGAGCTTTTAAGCCTACCGGTATATGCATAATATATGTGATGCTTGAGGCAGCCCATGAAGAGGCAGGCATAGCTAGGTCCTATTTTGGTGCCCATATTTACTCTGCTTATCTAGTTTAAATAGTGACCATTAAACTCAAAAGAGTTTAGAGATAGCACTAACAGCCAGACGTATCAAAAAGTCAGAGGCTATTGTGATGCTGACTCTACGGCCTAGAAAGAACTGCAATGCCTGGAGGTCATCCGAATGTGGAATAGACATATAGAGAGAGGTGACATCTAAGGTGAAGATGTGGTACCTGGAAGAAGAGGTAAACCGGATCGATTAAAAGACAGAGATAGCATGGTTGGTGTCTTTGATGTAGTTGAGACCACTGGACTACAGGCAAGAACTAACATGAGTGTTTATTCAAGTTCAATATACTATAAAACTTTAGACATTGTAACCTTACCATATCATCTAGTTACCTGGCTTAAGCAATATCCCCCACTTTGTTTGCTGTGCTTTTCATTCATTCTTTTCCCCTGATCATTTACCATCATCCTTTCTCTTCTTATTCTTTTTTTCCTTGAATGGAGCATAGGCCTTAAACAACTCACACCAAGTGCTTTGTTATCATAAGCTGCATACCCACCCCATATCATTCCTATCAGCTTCATCTGTTGTTCTCTTCTTTGTGTGTGTGTGTGTTTTTTTTTTTTTGGGGGGGGGGGGGGGGGGGGGGTTGCCTTTATTCTTTTTTACCTTGTTGGTTCATCGCAAAAATATTATAGTTAAATTATCTTGCCCTCCCCCTTCTTTTAACAATAACAAACCCATGCAGCAGTTGTTTTCTCTGCCACAGCTACACTGTCTGGCAGCCACTCAGTACAAAACATGGTCAACCGCTTCCTAGGGATGGCAAGTCCAACGGGTACAAGTGGGGGGAGTACCACGGTCACTTCTCAGGAGGCTGGTGACAGTTTTGCCCCAGACAGCACTGATGGAATGAGGTGAGTATACTGCTTTCACTTCTTCTTCTTGTCCTTTTATTAAAAAAAAAAAAAAGCTTTTTCTTTGTTCTCAAAAATGTAGATTATCTCTGTCTGTATAAAGAGGTATGTTCAACTCTTTTTGTATATCAGTGGACAGTTGCATTATAAATTCTTTGTGATGTTTTATTTGGTACCAAAAAAGTTATGGTGAAAGTGGTAAGGAAAAACACAATAGGGGAATGCAGCATTACATTTGGGTGAACAACATCAAGAGATTCGCCAAAAGCCTGAGTGGTTAGCATTGGTGAATATGCAAGACAGAGGGTGTTAGAGAAATGCTGCAGCTATGGAGGTGAAATGATGATGATGGTAAAAATGGTGATCTGTGTGTTATTGAGCAAAGTGAATGCTGGATGTAGTTAGGCACCTTACCATCATCTCACAGTCTTGTGGGGTCTTTTTACATTTATGGTAGGATGTAGAGCTACCTTATAATCCTATGTAGTCTTCTACACTGAACATAGAGGTGTCTTGTGACTTGTTTTACTTGAACACCGATTGCTAACACTCAGGTTCATTCAGAATTTGTGCAACAGTCAACCTTTGTGTAGCAGTCAGACTGTGTGTTACAGTCAACCTCTGTGTGACAGTCAACCTTTGTGTAGCAGTCAGCCTTTGTGTAATAGTTGATTCCTTTGTTATAGTTAACATTTGACAAAAGTAACAGATCAGTTGAGATTTCCACAGCTGTTAATTACATATTTACATTATCACTGTTAACATTTGTGTCTGGTTAATTACTCTTGCATAATGCTTAACATGTGTGCTGATTAATTAAGCTACACAAATGTGAACATTCAGTGTTAAACTTTTAGATTAGAAATGATAATTTTCCAATGAATACTGATTAGATGTATTTTCCGCAGAAGAGTCACTCCAAATCTCAACAGAACTGGCAGTCTTAACAACAAGAAGGTGAGTAGTTATTCATTAGAGTGGTGTGTGAATGTGCAGTTGGTAATAGAGTGTTGTGTGAATGTGTAGTTGGTCGTAGATTGTTGTGAGAATGTATAGTTGGCATAGAGTGTCGTGTGAATGTGTACTTGGTCAGAGTATTGTTTCAGTGTGTAGTTGATCAGAGTCCTGTGTGAATTTATAGTTGATCAGAGTCCTGTGAGAATGTATAGTTGGCATAGAGTGTCGTGTGAATGTGTATATAGTCATAGAGGGTTTTCTGAATCTGTGGTTGGTTATTGAGTGTTGCGTGAATGTGAAGTTGGCCATAGAGTGTTTTGTGAATGTATAGTTGGCTATAGAGTGTCCTGTGAATGTGTAGTTGGTCATAGAGTGTTGTGTGAATGTGTAGTTGGTCAAAGAGTGTTGTTTGAATATGTACTTGGTCAAAGAGTGTCATGTGAATGTGTAATTGGTCATAGAGTGTTGTGTGAATGTGCAGTTGCTCATTTATGGCATCACCATTATCATCATGGACAAATGCTTATTCATCCGATTCATTGACCTTTTTTTTTTCTCAACAGAAAAGTGAAAGGCCAGCAAGAAGAGCAAAGAGGTGAGTAATCTGAGGACTTGCTGTATAGCAGCTTGTTAAAGATCTTTCTTTCCTGACTGTGTCAAAGTGTTCCCTCCATTCAAGAGAAAGACAGGTCCAAGTCATCATTTTGTCAACTGAGAATGGGACATTCTGCAGTCATCATCATATGCCTTGCCACATACATAGCACATCCATTCATGTCTTTATATAGATTTCATCCTTGGTGTTCTAGATTAACTCTTCTCTGCTTCTGCAATGGGCATTTGGCATTTTGTTTTGTGGTTTGCAGCTGACCTGCGATATCTGTCTTTACTGCCCTTCAGTCCAATTTTATAAAATCCCTAATTAGTCGCCTGGACATGCTTTTTAGGGTGCAGAGTTTTTTTTTTTTTTTTTTTTTAATCGTCACCGTAATGATGTCCCAGAACTCACATGGGAAGGGTCAATTTAATTGATGATTTGCCTCTTTGCTGTCATTTTAGACCATCAGGCATAATATATCTTGTCCTGTTCATCTTTTTTTATGTTGCTGATATTTTCTTGCCATCCTGATATTTTCTGATGTCTCTCTTCTGTCATCCCATGACCAAAGCCATCTCATGACCAAGGGACACTGTCTCTTTCTTATTATTGTGTATAATTTTCTGTTTTCCTGAGCACTGTTTGGCCAGATATATTTGAATTCCAAAATTGATTACTAACACTTTGTTTTAGTTTCACAATGCATTTTTTTGGGGTTAACTATTGACAATTACTCGTCTTCTTCTGCTGATTCTCTCTCTTTGTCTCTCTTGCTGCCTCTTCTACTCTCTCACACTCTCTCCTGCCCTCTCGACATGCTTGCACAGACACATGCTCAGGCGCACGCACACCTACACAAACCATCCCCCCATTCCCCATTTTTCTCTACTTTGTTGTTTTCATTTCATTTTCTTTTAAATATCCCTCTTCCCTGTTATTATTTTTTTTTTTCATATTTTTGCTGTCCCTCTTTATTTTGCCTTTTACTTATTTTTTAAATGCCATGTTGTAATTGTTGGTGACATATTTCAGTGATGTGGATGTGGACCCAGACACTTTCAAAGAAATCAATCAATCTGCCAGCTCCTCAGCCTCAAGTCTGTCTAACCGGTAAGTGGCCATAGTCTTACTGAAATACTTGTGTCAGACAGACTCTTATTCTACACCTCTCAAGGCTCTATTGTGAATGGATGCACTGATAAATGTCATCAGTTGAGTTGAGAACTGATATCACAGCACCCAGGACAATTCTCTGCCCCCCCCCCCCCCCCCCCCCCCCCCCCCCCCACCCCAATCTTCAGCAGCATCGGCAACCAGGTTTGCTCGCTGGCTGGCCGGTGGACAACTTTGTCATTGCCTGTTGTTACAGTATCTGGGCAGCAGTCTGACTGTACGTCCATCTTGCTTTCCCTCTGAATGATGTGTTGACCAGATCCCTTGGTCACTTCGTGATGCATCACTCTCTTCAGACTGTGATGATCAGTTTGGGCTTTTGCATTGTTCACTCACTCCCAAAGGGTCAAAGCCCTAGTGTTCTTGCATAAATCACCACCCAGTGGTGCAGAACCATCCAGTCTGTCTGCTTATTAAAATATCCTTATCATCATCATCTTGCCTTTCCAGGTATCATATGTCTCTCCATGTCCTCTTCATATATTTTGGTTTTCTGTATCAATTCTTTTCCTTGAATTACTCCATGGCAACGCTATTGACTGTTCAGCATCATGTCTCTCATTTTCCCTATGGGTTCTAAAGTCCCCTTTTTTTCAAGGTGGTGAGGCAGAATCTACTCACTGCCCCTTAACTGGCATGGTGTAGAAGACCATTAATTAAGATTTTGTTGAAATTAGATGTCTAAGAAGCAGGTCAAATATATCATTGTTCCTTGATGCAGATTAGAACCCAGGACCTTTCAATACAAGTCTACAAATATCACTAAGACAGCTTCCACATAATGACTGATTGTATGTATGAGAAGGCTTCAAATGAAAACTCTGAAACTGTGATATAAATTAAATAACCATGCCATTGCCTTGTAACCTGTCAGTATTGATGTAGTCCATATTATTGTAAAGGATGTCAAGAGTGTTAAGCATGTGACATTTTGGCGCAGATGAACATGATGCAGTCATTCTTCTTCTTCTTCTTCTTCTTCTTCTTCTTCTTTTCTTCTTCTTCTTCTTCTTCTTTTTTTTTTTTTTTCTTATACTTCATCAGCATTTAAAGCCCTTGCTGCATTGCAGTCATTGCTGCAGATATCACTCACCTCCATTCATCTCTTTACAGTTGATGACCGCAAGTGTTTGTTGGTCTGCATATATTTTACTCTCCGTCTTCTGTAGCGTATGCAATTTTTGTCTTTTTGTTAATTGCTGTCCTCTCTATATGCCCCAACTGTTGCATTCTGTCAACTCTCCTGATGCCAGTAATTAATGGTAATTTAAACAGATCATGAATTTCATTGTTGCTTCTCACTATCAGTTCTTTGCTGTTTAAATCTTTGATGAATTCAAAACATTTATCTTAACCCTGTCGCCCTGAGAAGACTAATCTAGTCAGATGCAGTTGTGCCACAGTCCCGTAAATGCTAATATGTCTTCCAATCTGCAGTGATCTGTTTCTTCGAAAGCGAAATTGAATTTTACTAGTTCTTGCAGTGTTTAAAGGCGAGGATAAAATATAGTAACTAAAATTAGCTTTTAGGGGCTTATGTTCCCTAGCGCCTTTTTGTAAAGCCTCATTCATAGAGGTCGTGGGGTCAGGGCATGAACCACACTTGTTAGATATTGTTTTTAGGCTCCAGGGAATGTATTCCATTTAATGCTTCTCTCTGTATTTGTTTATATCTTTATATATTTCACACAGACACATAAATTGTTTTTTAAAAATATTAATGTGGAAAAATGTTTTAAAGGAAATTTCTTTCGGGAATTCCCACTGCTTCATGACCTTGTGGACAAAAGGGTTAAAAGAATTGATATCATAAGAAATGGGGATGTTGTAAGCAATATTTAACATGTTAAATATTTCAGGAGAAGGAATTTATCTGCTTGCAGGAGTATTGAGAGTCCCGGCAACAGCACGGACAATGTCAGTGAGCTGTTGCGGGCCCAGTATGATGATCCTGACATGGACCTAGAACCAGAGTTGCCACCGCTGAAGCAAGTGCTGTCTGATGAGGTGCTGCGGAAGCTGAAGCCCAAGGAGAAGAAACGCCAGGAGGTGATAAATGGTGAGTTTTCCTGTTGTAATATTGCACATTGGAAGTGATGGATAGGGGGTTTCCTTGTAATATTATTCACAGAAGGGATGTATGGTGTGTCTGCGCAGTGTAATCTAATTAGGTTAGTTGCGTATCCTTTACAGGTAGTTGCAGAACCAACCCTAACAGTCCCTGGCTGTTGTGTGGTTTATTTAGGCAAATCTACGTCCAGTAGTTTGCCATTGCTTTCTGGACTTTCTTGAGCCACTGTCGAAACCAGATGGCCTGCAGCTGGGATCAAACCCGTATTTACGAAGCGTTCGCACATTATATTCTATATAGGTAGTGATAAATGGTGATTTTGTTTGTTGTAACTTTCAAAACAGGAGGGGATAAATTATAAATTATGATTTTCTTCATTTTAACCATCCACATTAAGTTCCTTGGATGAAGATTTCTCACAGAAGGTGATACATATTTGGTTCCCTCATTGTAAGATTCCACACAGGATGTGATAAATGAGGAATTCACTTGCAACTTTAATTAGAGCACATGATAAATAGTGATTTCCCTAGTAAAATTCCACGCAGGAGGTGATAAACGAATTCCCCTGTTGTAACATAAAACAGCTTCTTACATCTAAATGTGTTCAGATTAGGAACAGTCAGATGTTACCTTTACTCTATAGTCTGTCCATTTTGTGCAGCTTGGATATAGCTTGGACTCACAGCTCTTGGGACATTGCCATATGTGCTTCATGTGAAATTGAGCTGTGAAATTAGTCTAAAATTGAGATTTTAAAATTAGGTTTATACAAATGCAAGGAAATAAGTGGTTTGGTGCATGACTGAAAAGAATGTACAAGAAGAGGTGTCAGTAATCTACGGCATATATACTGAGTGCAAGTGTATTTCAAGTGGCATACTGAGTGAATTGAAGTACAGTTTATAAGGTCATTAAAATTGTGTAAAAGCATTTAATTCTTTTAAAGTTCAAATTATTCTGTTTCAGAAATTGCATATTATTAATATGTGGTATGGTAGAGGCTAACAGTATGAAAACCTATGGTACAGCACCTGCAAGCAAGTTAAAGTGAAAATTTTGAGATCATGCATCTTTCCCATGGCAACTGATGGATGTGAGTCATGAACTCAGTTTTTGAAGAAGACAATCAGAGCTTTTGAACTGAAATGGCTACAGAAAGGCTCTCAGAGTACCATGGACCAAGAAGAAGAAAAACATTTACATCCTGCTTGACCTGAACATTAAGGAGTATTGGCTCATAAACAGCATCCTCTCCCGAAAGCTGAAGTATTTTGGACGTGTCAGGCGCCATGGTGCTAGAGAGAATGTTAATGAAGGGTGCAGATTTCCGGAAAACTAGACCGACCTCTGCGAAGAGGGATACAGGACAGTTAAGATGAATTGGCTGTGCTAACACACAAGGCTGTAGAAATTGGCTAGAGAAAGAGAGACTTTGAGGCATGCCATGAAAAGAGCAACATTCTGTAAAAGATGTGATGATTGATGATAATGATGATGGTAGATTAAGGTTGGCACACTGGCGGACTTATCACAGCACCACTAAAAGGTTACCGATTCTTGAATTAGAATAGATAGTACACATCTATTCGATTTTTTAGTTAAGATTGAAATGATGTGGTGAGTTTTAGATTGAGTTAAGAGCTTGGGAAGAGTAGTTTCGGTGCTTGAAACATGGCACAGCAGCTTAGGCATATATATATGACAACCCATGTTCATCCCTCCACAGAGTTGTTCTACACAGAGAGAGCACATCTGCGTAACCTAAAAGTGCTGGACTTGTTATTCAACCGACCCATGTTTCAGGAGAAGGGAATCATGGCCGAGCTGGCTAGGGCACTGTTTCCCAACATGGAAGAGATGATTTCGCTACATGGTGAGCATTCAAGACATGTCTATGGTTTTTATTTTTTTTTTCCGTCATATTCTTGTTATTGTTGTTGTCAAAAAATACCTGTGAAATAAGTTGTTCACTGTTGTTTGACTTGGAGAGTTGTTGCCTGCGATGATTTCATTCCTTCCTGGTTGGCAAGCAACACAGTTAAACCAGGGGAGGTCAACAAGTAAGTCACAAGTGGTTAAGGGATGGAAGGAAAATGTAGCTGCTGGTTTCTAAAGGTGTCATTAGGTGACATCACAGCATCGAACTTTATGTCTCTGTTAATTAGGTGGCACTAGGTGTTGCATGCGCATTCGCAACACAGAAGAAGAAAAAATGGCGATGTACTTACGCTGTTTACCCTCAAAGAACAATGTGCTGTTGTACATTTTTTGGCAAAAGGGCTGCCTGCAAAGGACGTTCATAAGGAAATGATTTCTGTTTATGCTGACAAATGTTTATCCAGAAAAGCATCACTACCAGCCTCGAACCAAAGTGTGCTTCAGTGCAATGAAAACGTCCTCCTTCGCCTTGTGTTAAGAAATTCAAGGTTATGCCATCAGCAGGGATGGCTTATGCTGACAGTGTTCTGTGATTGTCAAGGAGTGCTTCTTAACCAGTTTTAAAATAGAGGTGACCATGTGAATGTTGATTCGTACCGAAAAGTTCTATAGATGCTTCATAATGCATTTGGAAGAAAACGTCCAGGCCTGGTGACTAGAGTACTGCTCCTTCATGACAATGCCAGACCACACACCGCTCGATTAACTCAGGAGAAAATTAACCATCTACTTAGCCCTTAGCGATTTCCACTTTTTTGGTCCACTTAAAACACACCTTGGCGGGAGACATTTCGCGAATGACACAGATGTTAAATATAATGTGAAAACGTTTTTTAGGAGACAAAAAGAGCACGCAATTTTTTGCGGCAGATTTGGGAGGACTGATAAAACAGTGGGGCAATTGCATCAGTGTAGGTAGAGATTATGTTTGAAAAAAAAAAGGGACAATGTATGTGTAAAAATAAATTGTTTCAAGTTTTTTTTAAACAACCATTTGTGACTTAGTTAATGACTTCCCTTCGTGACAGACGTCCTTATGAGCTCTTTAAGCAGTGACTGCAAGATGTGGGTGCTGATTATTTGCTATCACTGTTAAGGACTTTGCTTACTGGCATGCTTCTCCCCATTTTGGATATCTCCAACACTTTGTATGCTGACACCTTTTCCATGCTGTCAAGAATCTTATTGTTGTCATCCTCCATCTCTCTTTCCATAAGTATTTGCAGTTGTCACAGCATGTTTCAATGTTTATCTTATTATGTTGGCAAACAGGGATGAATGCTTTTTTCTGATGTTTGTAATGAAAACATCTCAGACTCTTTTAAAATCGTGTTACTCTTTTGCCTGTCCACTGAATTTTCAACATTTTTGATTAAACTACATCTCTGAGACCACAAGGAATTCTTTAATATTTTACTAAATGTGGATTCACAACCAGTTGTTATGTAAAATCTGGTTCTGTGGCGTAGACTGCCTCAAGAATTCTCTTTGAAAAATTACTGTTGGCAGGGGGGGGTCAGACCAAGTCACCATCTTTTGCTTATGCACTGGTCATTGCAGACTCAACACATACTCATATAAATTAGGTATGAACCAGACAGCTCTCTGCTAATGTCTTTGTGAACAAACCCCACACAGACAACAGACTGTTCTCTGCCAGACTGTCCTCTCCTAAAGGCCTTGCAGAACAGGTGACCGTACCTGTAGACCTGACAACACAGTTTATAGCTGACAGCGGATTAAGTGCATAACCAGAGATCGCTAAAGAAAAAATTTGGGCAATTCCGACTCTTGCAGTCTTACTAGTTTGTAAAGTTGAAGTCCTTGTCAGGCTTAATCATAGTAGAAACCACTGCCAGTGCTTCTTCCTTTATTAGCCAGACTGCAGGGTGTCTCATAAAGTTTCCATGCATGGGGAAAAAAAACCATATCACCAACCTCCATTACAAGCATAACTCCAGATGTGCTTATATGACACGTGTTTTTAAGCAGTGGAAGACATACATCGTAATGTGTTTTTAAAACAATGGTAGTCATGTAGAACATATGATATAAATAAAAAAATGTTTTTTTTTCCATAAACTTTTATTTTTCCCATGTGGAAACTATGAGACACCCCTGTAAATTGGTGCCAGTTAATTTTTTTCTGGAAAAAAAAAAGTGTATTTCCTGTGAATAGGATCTCTAATCTTCCATTCTTATTTAGTTTGTGTTGCATCATTTATATATGTGATTTGTTTTGTGAACATAATGTGTAATCTCTTCTTTCTTTTTCCGTTCTTTATCCCCAAATGGAACAAAGATCCTCAACAAACTTACACAGAGTCATCCTATCCTTTACTGTTGCATGCAGCTCATTCCATGCCATCCCTATCTTTTAAACCCACACTGTCTAGCTGCCTTGTCCATGTGCTGTTTAGTCTGCCTTTCTGTATAATGCTCCTTGTGGGTACAGTGTATGTGTAGACATTCTAATGATATTGTATATTGTTCCTAGGTTTAATTTATCTGTTCTTTATTGATTACGATTTTTAAATGCATTATTTGGGTAGTATTTTTTATTTTATCTGTCATTTCATGTTAATTGTGATTGCTTACAATAACAGTTGCGTTAAGAATTGACGTCATAGCACTTATGACAGTCCCATAAGAGCTCTGTTCCCATCCTCAGCAGCCACCACATAATAATTCCAATGCTGATTGTACCAGTAACATGTTGATTTAAGTCCGTCTTGCTTTTTCTCATAGTGTAGAGTGTTGGCCAGTTCTCCGAGTCATAACCTGCTCAGCCTTCTCCACACAAACACACACACGAGATCTGTTTGTACTTGTGCATTGTTCACTTACTGCTAAAGAACTTGGCCACATCTAGCTTGTCATACATTGGTTCATCACCTATTGGTGCAGAACTAGTCATTGTACCAGTCTCCCCACACACCTGCATGTCCTAGCGGAAAGAAACCAAGGCTTGCTTTTTTAAAGACTGGTGTATGATTACAGCATGGCATGTATTAGACCACAGTGAAAATGTATGCATTATAGTTAAATGTGATACATTGTAAGTCATGTATGCATCATTGTAGGCACAGAGTTCGAGCATATGTGAACAATTATGTGAAATCCTCAGTGAAAAGATAAAAACTAGTACAAAGTGTAACTGTTTAATTGATAATTGTTTTTCTCTTCCTATGACCAGTAACTTTCGTTAGAGACATCAAGGACAGAAGCCTGTCAACCCCGGTGGTCAAGGAAGTAGGAGACCTGCTGCTCAAGCGGGTCAGTATTAGCTAGTTTTAATCAAGTGTCTTTAACAGTGTCTTCATGGGGTTCTCCGTGGCATAGTGGTCAAGCCTTTTGCCTCGCGCTCTGAAGGTTGTGGGTTCGCTCCTCAGCTGCGCCCTTCGGTTCACGAGTGCAGGTTTTCATGGAGGTCCCTGGGGATCATCGCTGGAGCTGCGGAGTTGCGTGCCCTGTGCGACACTCAGCAGGTGGCTAGCCATTTCTGCGGAGAGAGAGGCCGAGCCAAATGGGATAAAACCTGATGCACTGAAGTTGATCTTCTCAACTTTAACCTTTAACCCAGTGTCTTCATGTCCTCATTGTTTCTCTTATCCTTTCTGTTTGTGACTAGAGTGTGTACATTTACTCCCCATAATGTGTTAATTTCAAATTTCTTTTCAATACATCTTCATGAATTTTTTTTTTAAATCTGTCCACAGTATTATCATCATTGTCTGTGTAACTACATCTCTGCTGCCGCTGCATAATTTTGCACTAATTAAAGGGAAAACATAATAGACTCACTGCCCTTTTTTAACAGCATGTCTAAAAGGCAACTAATTAAAGATTTGCTAAAACCTTGTTTGTTAGGTTGAAAGACACTAGATATTTATTGCAGCTTAGTGGGGAGCCACAACACAACATGCCAACCGTTCCTTCTAAGAGCGAGTCACAGATCTTTCACCTGAAAGGAATCCATTCCAGGCTCAAATAATGTATGTTCAGCAGTATCAGAGGTGGACATATATGTATTAGTATGGAAGATCTCCCGTGTGGGTTGCAGGGCCCTATTATGGGGAAAACAAGACTAGATCCACTGCCTACCCAAAAGCATGTTGTAAGAGTTGAATAATTGGAAGCTTCCTTCGAAGTCGGAGTGCATCTGCCTGAGAGGAGAGGAACGAACAGTCTGCGTACAAATTAGTCGAAAGGATGCATACGCCATACTCAGGTTCTGGAACAGGACTGCAGTCCAGAAATGGACAAATAACCAGAACTTTCCACTGGAGTTTACAGTCTATGAACGTGAAAATGAAGAAGTATGGAAGAGGGCAAACAAACCGCGGAACATGTTCCCCAATATTGTTGTTTTGGTACAAAACACAGATCCATGACATGACTACTCAGTCTCACTTTGGGGAGAAACAGTTGTTAATGGGAATAGACTTGACCCTTTTATCTAGTAAAAAATGTCCTTTTAAATTATGTTTTTAAAAGTAAATGCATGTTTATACTTCTCTGAAACTATACAAGTCTAGAAGAAGAAAAGAAAAAGCAGAAACAATTTTGAGTTTTGGTAAGTTTTTATAAAAATCCGGGGGGTCAAAACCTATGACCACTGAGCAGACAGGCAAGCCTGCTAGCTACTGCATCATCCCAGTTTATCCATATTCTAGATTTATAAGATAGAGATAACTGTTTTAGAGAGAGAAAGAGAGAGAGAAGAGGAGCTAGTTGAAGAAGAGAAAGTTGGAGAAGAAGAGGAAGTTGGAAAAGAAGATAAGGAAGCTGTACAGAAGAAACAGCAGCTGCAGTAGTAATTATTGAAATTGATAATAACTGAAATTGATACTTCACAGTAAAACTGTTCTCTACCAGGGTGTTTCCAGTTTGACAGGAAAGCTAGATTCCACACACAGAGTTTTCTTGTTGTGTGTGGGATATTTCCAGTTTGGTGACAGTGCTGGAGTCTTGTTTCTATAAGGTTTTTTTTCTTTCGGTATGACGGTAGGCTGCCTTTCACAACGTATCATTGTTCTTTACGTGGTATTTTCAGTTTGATGGTGATGCTGGTGAAAGATTCCGTAAAGGCTGTGCTGAATACTGCAGAAACCAAGCGTTTGCCCTGGATGCTCTCAAGAAACAGACAAGGAAGGAGCCCAAGTTGCAGCAGTTCCTTCATGTGCGTTATTTTTTTTTTCATATTTTGTTGTTTGTTCTACGTGAGTTGTTGCTGTTTTGTTGTTGTTGTTGTTGTTGACTTTGTTGTTTAATTCATGTTGTTGATTCTGTGTGAAGTGTTGCTGTTTTCATGTATTATTTACCATGTGTGTTGTTTATTTCATGTGTTGTTTGTTTTTTATATTGTTTGTTGCACATGTTCTTGGTTGGTTTTTTATTGTCTCATATGTTGTTGTTTATTTTAAATGATATTTTTATTTCTTGTGTTTTTGTTCATTTTATATGTTGTTGTTTCATATGATTTTTTTTAACATGTTGTTATTAGTTTCATATGCTATTAATTTGTTTTCTTCATTCATTGGTTGTTTTGATGCGTCTTAATCAGAATATGCCAGGGTTTCTTGATTCATGGGTGCTCATAATTGTGGTTTTAAAAGTGTTAATTCAAAAATAACCACCCACAACCAACTTAGTTAACTTTAATGGTTTTAAATAGAGGAAGAAAGAAAAAAAGTCACTAATTTCTGACACGCTGGGGGAAAAACACACCAAATGACACCCAACTTCTGGGGATTTTTGAAGTGGTGCTTGCCACTGTGCATGTAGCATTTCTTTCTCCACTTTTCTCAGCATGCTTTGTGAGTCTGTTACAGTCATATCATATGTTTGCAGTTGGTTTTCAAGCCAGCAGAAAGAGACTGTGACTGCCTCTACCTCCATTCTCAAACTAGACCCAGACTGTTGAATGAGTACCTTAATATTTTCAGAATTGTGTGTGAATTGTCTGGTCAGGAACTGAATCTGATCACCCAATCTCATTATGACATAGCCTAGAACAGGGCTATTCAACACAGTTTACTCTGGGGCTAGCATATTTTTAATGGGGATTAGCACCTGCCAGAGACCCAAGTCCCAGTGTAGGAAGGTCACTGTTTTGGGAATAATCCGCAAGATACCAGCTTGACCTTTGTATGCCTCCCGTTGAATAGCATTGGGCTAGAATATTACTGCTATATACAGTTATGACATGGGTAGGATTAGACGAATCAGCTAACATTTAAAAAAAAAACTAATTTTGTGTTTTATTTCTAGGATGCGGAATCAAACTCCTTATGTCGCCGGCTACAGCTGAAGGACTTAGTGCCTTCTCAGATGCAGAGACTGACAAAATACCCACTGTTGATAGACAATTTGCTGAAGTACACATTGTGTAAGTTCTAATATATTTGTATGTTATCTGTTATGTTATCAGTTTGTATTCTAGTCAGAACACTTTCTCAACTGCTCTTTGAATTATTTGTAGTTGAAATAATGGGTTCATCATATTCAGAATTAGAAAAGACTGTCTTCAGTTTTCTGAGGAATTTGTGGTCTTTCAGTATTTTTGATGTCTTTTTCATATTTGACATCACGGGGCATTTACAAGGTAGTATTCTGTTATAGGGTAAATGTGTGTGTATGTTGTATTGACATAAACTAGATTATTAATGCAAAGATGGGTAGGTGTATATGTATAAATAGCTTTGTATGTATACAAGACACAATCGTCAGTATTAATTGATTGGCTACTCTTGAATGCTATGAGAAACTTATTTTATATTCACACACCAGCAGAGTCTGCATCTATGGCTTAAACATTGAAAAGCTGCTTCATAATTTTGAGGCTAGCTAGTTCAATTCCAGCAGCAAGCGATTTAGCTGCAGACTGCGTAGCTGAAGTTGGTTCTGCAACATCTTGTAAAGGATACGCAAATGATTTTTGTTTTGTTTTTGTACCAGCAGACCGGCCACTCTTTTATGAGTTTGAGGTACTAAGAGATCTTTCAAAACACCTGCTAACAAAATAAACAGAATAAGAATGAGCATTGTTGTCTACACTTACAGTAGGTGCTGTTGTCATGTTGTGTATATTTCTATAGCTCAAAGTGAGGAGTACAGGAGGATCGAGAGAGCCCTGGAGAGATGCAAACATATCTTGGCTTATGTCAACCAGGCTGTCAAGGAGTGTGAGAACTACCACAAGCTGAAGGATATTCAGAAGAAGCTTGACCGCAGACCACTGGAAGGCTTGAATGATCCTGCAGTGGCTGAGTTGAAGGTAAGATGGAATGTGAAAATCTGACTGACTGACTGCTGCAGAAGTGGCAGTGAAGAATGAATGACCATACAGTACGGGAAGCTAGTGTAAGTTAAGATTTACAGATGCAGGCGAACAGTTCAGAGTATTTTTCAATCTAGGCACCTGGCCAACATCAGATGCATGGCATTTCACAGGGGAAAGGGATGGGCCAAAACTATTTTTTGTACAATGATGAACATCTTCTGTAATAAATCCATGTCATTAGAGGTGAGAGGAGAAATGTTTTCCTTTGACAATTAGTAAACAACTTCATTGAGGCCTCTGGGACATGATTTTATGCAAAATTGTTTCAGGTTCCTTTGAGAGCCAAAAAATTTGCAGTAACCCAGATGGTTTGGGGAAGAAAAAAAAGGCTAAGATTGTAAGATACAAAGCATGCATTAAAAAACCAAGGCCTAGAGAACTTGAACATAAATGGGGTGGAATTAGGACAGATGAAGAAATAAGAGAAATGTCTGAACAACCACTTGTATCAACAGTTATGTGAAAATTAAGGTGGCAGTGTATATGGCAATCATGAGAAGAAGTAGACAAAGAATATCTAAACAGGCACTGAAAATGGGAAACAAATGGATTGAGGAAATGACTGCATCAAAGACAAACCCCTTTAACATTTAATGAACATTGATGAGAGAATACAGAGTTGCTGGACTGGATTTCATCTAGTCGTTTTCATTTCATGTTGTTGAAAGGATCGCACAGGTAGAAAAAATCAAATTGAAAAACCCTGTGTGACATATAATGACATGGCAGGGTGCTGATGAAGACACAAAGAAAACTGACAGATGTTAGAAAGAACCTGTCATGTTTTGGCCACATTATGAAAAGAGAAAAACTGGGACATGTGATGACTGGTAAGCTTCATGGAAAAAAGAGATAGAGAGAGACTGTGAGAGAAGATTGTTGGCAGCGTTTCTGTCATTGCGTGGACGTGTGTCACCAGATGAACTGATACAAGCTGTTGGCAAAGCCCTTACTGGTAGTGATGGACCCTTTTCCATGCCATAGTCATGAGCATATAATGCTAGAGCTTTATTTTATAGACCTGTTGGTGATGTGGTCAGCATCGCACTAGCCGCCTTTACTTTCCAGGACTTCACCTGGTCCCCACTCAGGGCTGGGTTGAACCTGGAGCCATGGTCATTTTTACGGTGACAAAAGTGGTAACTTCATGAATATCATATTGGATAAGGAAGTTACACTGAAGACCATGCATGCATGACTCCTAAAGGCAGATGTGATATTAGATGAAATAACAAGTGTAAGGATGTGTGAATATGGAATTAAGTGTGGATCCAGCAAGAAGGGATTATGAAACGAGGATTATGACATCGCCTCTTTAAAATTCTGGATTACTAATTTTGGCTATAAAAGGACTTTTAAGCATTCTTCTGATAGTGTGCATTTTTTAGCATGTAATCTTCATTGAATTCTTGTGTTGACAATGAAATATGTCTGATTGCCCTGACTGATGGACACCTGATAATGTTGCAGTATTTTGTTGGTCAGTGTCTGACTGAAACTTTTTGTCCACAGAACCTGGATCTCACCCAGCACAAACTGATATTTGACAGCCCATTAACCTGGAAACTGAGGAGTCATCGAACTGTTGACTTGCATGTTCTTCTCTTGGAGGATTTGTTGGTCTTGTTGCAGAAAGCAGGATGACAAGTAAGATACTCTTTCATACTGTTATTGCTGTTGGTAGTAGTGGTTGATGTTGTATTCATGTTTAACCTCTTGATGGAAGGTTTGTTTCTGCTTTTGTAGAAGTAGAAGACCAAAGAGCTATTTGTTTACAACATTGCTGTTGTTGGTAGTTCTGTTGCTGAGGTTTTTTGGGTGTCGTTTTGATCACCTTCTGTAGGTCAGTTGGTACTACTGCACAGTCAGTCAGTCAGAGACCATCTCTGTATTGTAGATACATGCTGCAGTCATTTCTAACACTATTTCTCAACCTTGGTTATACCTTCTGACAGATTATTCTTTGTCCCTCTCTTTATGGTATCTTCCCACTTGTATCACTTTTAAACTTTTGTAGCTTGCCTTCTCATTTTCTCCAGTATGATCTTGATGGCTCTTATGCTTTTGTTGTTAAAGTTGACTATTTGTGATATTCTTCTGACGTTGCTGTTGTTGTTAAAGTTAACTATTTGTGATATTCTTCTGACATTGCTGTTGTTGTTAAAGTTAACTGTTTGTGATATTCTTCTGACGTTGCTGTTGTTGTTAAAGTTAACTATTTGTGATATTCTTCTGATGTTGCTGTTGTTGTAAAGTTAACTATTCATGATATTCTTCTGATGTTGCTGTTGTTGTTAAAGATAACTATTCGTGATATTCTTCTGATGTTGCTGTTGTTGTAAAGTTAACTATTCATGATATTCTTCCACAGTTGCTGTTGTTGTTAAAGATAACTATTCGTGATATTCTTCTGACGTTGCTGTTGTTGTTAAAGATAACTATTCGTGATATTCTTCTGATGTTGCTGTTGTTGTAAAGTTAACTATTCATGATATTCTTCCACAGTTGCTGTTGTTGTTAAAGATAACTATTCGTGATATTCTTCTGATGTTGCTGTTGTTGTAAAGTTAACTATTCATGATATTCTTCCACAGTTGCTGTTGTTGTTAAAGTTAACTGTTTATGATATTCTTCTACTAAAGTGTTCATGATATTCTGCTACTACTGCTGTTGGTAGCACTTGTTGCTGTGCAAAACATTAGTTTGTAATTGCTGATTTGAGTATAGCAACTAAATTAAGACTTAATTGTCAGTTACATATTTATTGGTGAGTATAAACTCATTAACAACTGAAAAAACAAAAAAACAGCTTAATTTCAATTAAATGTTCATCAGAGAGAAAATATAAACTCAGAATAAATTTGGCAGCAACCACTACAGTGATAATTTTTTTATGGTTTGAACAAACTTCAAGTGATCAGAATGCCCAACAGTAGCACACAAATACGAAGCTGATGTTTGGGTTAGCTGTGCACAGTTGTGACAGTAAATGTACTTGCACTCTTAGACCTCACGCTTGTAAAGTCAGTACTGGCATTTCTTCACAGATATGTCCTCAAATGTCAGAACACCAATGTTCAGTCTGCCCGTGACGACAAGTACACACATTTTCCTGTGCTGAAACTGCAGAACTTACTAGCTAGGACCCTGGCTACAGGTGAGTCGTCTTCTTATGCCTTTCTTATCTCATTTAAGCATAGGCTGTCGGCTAACTCATGTGTTACTTTGTAGGCTTGCTAATCTTTTGGGAAATGATATAAAGCTGAACGAAAAGTATATCAGCAAGATTCACAATATAACCAACACAAACAAAACGTGAACATTGTGACCATGGAGCCTTCGTCAGCACATACGTAAATAAAACAATACCACACAAAATCACTGAGCTTAGTATCTCGAAGCAGCCAGATATTTGGGATGGGGGGGGGGGGGTGGGTTAGGTGTGAATATCTGTATCTAATAGCATTGCTTGATCATGAAAATTTTAGCTTGAATCTTTATCACAGGCTGGCTTAAATCTAAGGTTTGGCCAGATGAGGACTGGAGGATTGGGTCTTTTTCCCCCTCTGATCTGTAGGATAAATGAGGAAAACAAAGATATCAAGTTTAATTTACCTCTCAACTCCATATAGAAAGGAAACAACAAATGAATAGTCGTCTATACCCCAGGTTAGTATAGTCACCACAAGCTGTACAAGTTAAGGACTGATCCTTGCTTCCTCTTAGACACCCTCGATAACTGGCAGTTTTTCTGGAGTCTCCGTGGCAGAGTGGTCAAGCCATTTGCCTCACTCCCTGAAGGTCATGCGTTCATTTCACAAAGGCATCATTCTGTTAACGAGTTCAGTTTTTTCAGAAATCCCTGGAGATAACAATGTTTGTATTTATGCAATGCTAACAGCAGGCTGATAGCCGGTCTGCAGGGGCTGAGCGATATGGAGTAACCTGATGCAGTGAAGTCGATTCTCTCAACTTTTAACTTTCTTTTGTGAGAAAAATGTTTCATTAAAAAAAAAAAATGTTCTTTATAAGTGAAGTCTAAAATATTTGAATTTTGTTTTAAAAATAATTTAGTTATTTTCGAAATTTTTATAGGGTCTCAAATACAGACTGTGACTGCGCGTCTGTCTCTGTCCATGTCACCTGTCACTAGTCAATGCAAATACTTTTTATACTCCACAGAAAAAAGATCTTTCTTCGTAGTCAACATTTCCGAGTCCCGGGCCCAGATGTACGAATTCACTGCTGTGTCCTCAGAACTTCGACTAAAGTAAGTCACACAAGAACGTTCAGCTTCCAATCATTCCATAAAGGAATGAATCTTTTTTTTCTCTGGCATTCTGTAAAGTACTAGAATACTGTGAGGCCAAGGTGGTTAGTACACTTGCCTTCCAACGCAGTGGTCTGAGTTTAATCACCAGCAGAGTGAAGATTAGTTTTGTTTTTATCAGTACAGCTCTGGGGTCAACCCAGCCTCATTAAAATAAGCAGCAGTTTTCAGAAATGTGTGGGAATTGTCCGGGAGGGGTGGCATATGAAAAGGAGAATTGCCCAACTCGCCTCATATGTGATCAGCTAAAGCAGTCTTTCCCTTTTGGTGGTCCTGGGGTCCATGGAACAGATTCAGGGGGAGTCGGTGATATCATTTTCATTTTTTTAAAACCTCCACTTTAGAATATAATCATTTTTGTGTATGTGTGTGATTCCAGTATCTCATATATTTTCTTGACACTGAGCCACTTTGTGTAGAAATTGTCTTGGAAATTAGCAAATGTCTCAGATATTGTGAAAATGGTGCCTCAGGAGACCTCTCTTGTGTTTAGGTGGTGTAAGCTGATCAACGACAAGGCTGATGAATTCAAGAGGATGTCTAACCTCAGCCAGCAAACACCAAGAGAGAGGAATGCCCACCCAAGGATACCACAGAAGTAAGTGCCACCTGTCACAGCTAGGAAGCATTCAGTTTTGTCCTCTTTAGGGTGAATTTTTTTTTTTTTTTTTAAAGTCCCACCCTGACTTTTGCCAGGAGCCGCAATATAGGCAGGGCATTAATATGGTCAATTGTGTGGGGTAGAGAGTCAGTCAGTCACAGCTAGGAAGTTTGTGAGTAGAACTCTACAGAAGAAACGCTCTCATGATCGTTCACTTTCTGATGTCCTGTTTTTTTTTTGGTTTTTTTTTTAAATTGCATGAAAGGTGCACAATTATGGGATGAGAGGGCCTACCTGTGTGGATTCTAGGGCCCCATTTTAGGGGGAACAGAAATACACCGACTGCCTCTTAACTAATTACGGGTTTGCTGAAATTGGATGTGTTGGGCCAAAAGATGCAGATATTGCTGCTTAGCTGTAAACCACAACACAGTGTGTCAACCGCTCTGTTAACCATTTCAGCCACAGCAAGTCCTAGCTAACATCTGAGACCAGCAAGAATGACAAAACTAAACACACTGATTCATTACTTCCGCAGGGGCCAAATATTCAATCCTTGAAGAAAACATTTTCAGTTTTTTTTTAAGAATTCTTCACCAAACCTAAGAAATAATGTATAGGTAACTTGTTGAGTGGTATGGATGAATAATATTCAGGCACACATGCTGCGTTGATTGCTTTCCCTCGCCTCTAACTGTCCACTGTCTACTTCCATAGCAACAATGTTGTGCCTGTGTTTGTCTGGTTCCTGTGGTTCCTGTCCCCTGCCAGTAGCTAGGTGACCATCGGCATAGCTCCTGAGTCATTGGAACTCACTAGCCCTCTTACCACACCACGGGGTAGAAACACGGCAAAAAGAAGTAGAACTACATGTAGAAATAGAAGAAGCTATGAGAGAGACAGGCAAAAAATAGCAATATCTGCAGTTAAACTGACCACATGAAATAACTTATCACAACACAAAGTATGACTAGAAAGTTGTAGTTGTGTGTCTCTTTTCCTTTCCCTCCATTGAGCTTCACTCCCTCCTACTCCTTACTTGGGCACAATTTTTTTCTTTAAGAGGGCAGCATGGTCTCGAGGCATGGTGTCCGTTTTGAGTGCTGGAGGTTCCCGGTTCAGTCCCCAGTAAGGAACGTTTTTTCACGTGGACTTGAACTTCTAGTAATTCCCCCCTCATCTCTGGGTAGTGAAATAGGACGCCTGTGTGCATTGTTGCGCACGTAAAAAAAATCTCTTGGCAGTTGAAAATTGATGGCGCTGACTGGGCAAAATTTGGAGTTAAAAATCTGCCCAAAGTATTTCAGGATACTCGCCGGTGCTACAGAGCTTCTTTGGTCTCAGACTTGAGTGTGAAGAAGAACGCAGCACTTATGGATTGCACCTGTGTGCCATGATGTTGATCCATACTTTAAAACTTCAGACTTTTCTTTCTTTTCCTCCTTACTTTTAATATTCACTCTTTTCCTGCTTTAAATTTACGCCTCCTTTAGACCTTTCTTCTCAACTTTACTTTTAAACTGACTACAACCGCCCCACCCCCCACAACCTCTTGCAGTTGCTTAACTCCTTTTGTTCTTTCCTCATTTACTGCCTGCTTTTTATACATGCTCTCCATCCCTCCTGATCTTACTTGCCTATATATTCTTACTTTTACACTTACTCTCTGCCTCTTATTTTTACTCTCCATTTAAATTTCCTTCATTTTTACACCTACCTGCCAGCCTCTTACTTTCGCTGACCTCCTCCTTACCTTTGCACATGCCTCCCCCTCCTTACTTTTGCACTTACCTCTCTGCCTTTTACATTTACTCTCCTCTTCCATACCTTCACCTCCTTACTTTTAAACTTGCCTCCCATGCTCCCAACTTGCCCTACCTCATACAACAAAGTTTATTCCTTACCATTGTTGTTTGTCGTGTAACTCCACAGCAACTCCAGCCTCCCCAGCGAGACCAGTGGCCCAGCCTTGGATGACATCTACGAGGTCACCGACCAGCTGAGCCGTCGCCTGGCCATCGGGGAAGACCAGCATTCAGAAGGAGAGCTGATTCTGCCGGAAGAGGTGCATATATCAGACGCTGTGACTACAAAGACCTCAGAAGTCAGCTCCCCACAAGGTAGGCCCTGAAAAATAACTGCTGGATTTCAGCTGTACATTGTAGGTAAGGACATACATATGTGTTTTGACTAATCCAGTAGCCGGCCGTCTTATGGATGTACTGGGCCAGTCCCTATAATACTGGCCTGGCATCCTGACTACCCGAAGGTTTCAATCAGTGTGCATACCTCGCTTAACTTATTGACTGATTTTGCATCATGTGCTTTTATCAATGTTCCAACATGCAGTGTATGTATTCTTACATCCCATTAGAAAACTTTCTTTTTTTTAAAAGTTTTTTTAAAAAGTTATTTCTAAAAAGCCTTTGTCAGTGTTGAAATCATTTATTGTCTGTTTTGTTTCAGTTTCATCGATTATCAGATATGTAATGGCACCCTTTCCCATGCCTTGAGGCATATTAAGCATATAGTGCCAAACCTAAATTTTATATGCCAATCGGCACTTGGCTTGTGATGCCACTTTTACTTCCGAGGACTTAAACTGAGGCTGGGTCAACCACTGAGCCAAGTTCAGCTTTGGTTTTGGGTTGAAAAAAAAGTCTGGCTCCTTTTTGATTGGAACCCTCAACCTTTGGAATTGCATATAGTGCTAGACCTGTGTTTGTGTAGACCAGTAGGCACTCGATGGGTGATGGAGTCAGCATATTGCCAGCCATTTTTACTATTCAGGACATTTCCCGGTACCTATTTTAAGCTGAGTTGTCTTGGGAACCAAGGTCAGTTATTACGGAATCTGCATGTTTGAACTCAGGACCTTAGGGCTGGCAAGCAAGAGTTTGAGACATGTATCTCTAGTATGACTTTTTCCCCCCCAGATTGAGATTAAAGTACATTCTTTTAATGGTTTCAAGGGATAAAAGTATGTTCTTTTAATGATTTTAATGGATAAAAGTACATTCTTTAAATGGATAAAAGGATATTGTTTCAAAAGATGAAAGTACAATCTTTTAACACGTCATTCCCCTGGAACAGTTTTTTTTTTAATCTCCAGGTCTTGTGATAAAATTATTAATTTAAAATATTAGAATAAAGAAGGTGCAGAGAATAGATTGCACAGTTTATTGCTTTGAATATTTCCCTGTGTCTCATCAGGTGCATGCTACAGAAACAATTACAGTCAAATAAAGCAAATAAGTGAAACCTTTACAACTGAAGTACAAATTCAACTGCTCTCAAAACTAGCTTCTTGTTTTACTATGGCAAGGGCAGGACTGCCATCACTGCTTTGTTTTAAAATATATTATCTAGCAAATAAAATGTAATTTATTGTTTGAACTTTGTTTGCAAGGTACATTAGTTACCTTTTATGTCAGACTTTTTAAGTCTCCCAGTTTAAAAAAAAAATGTTTTAGGTTAGATTTTAACCCTTGTTAAATTTAATTAATAATAATATTACTACTTAACTATTATCATTATTGTGAATATTATTACTATTACATATGTTATTTTCCCAATATAACTAGTCTTCTATTTTCTTCGGTAAGTTCAGTATTTAATAATAAGTATTCAGATGTTATACAAATATGTGTTTGCTACACCATTTTCTAATGAAAATGTTATTGCATAAGAAGGCAACCACATTGATAGTGTGTTCAATTTGTAATTTGTTTGCTCTTATTGCTACCTGTGTGTGTTTTAAATTGTCTTCCCCACAGATTGTGTAATCCTAAATTAGTAACTGCCCCTAATAATTGTTCACTGGATTGTTTTTCTTTTCTTCTTCTTCTTCTTTTTCTTCTCCTCCTCCTCCTTCTTCTTCTTCTTCCTCTTCTTCTTCTTCTTCCTCTTCTTCTTCTACTTCTTCCTCTTCTTCGTCTTCTTCTTCTTCTTCTTCTTTCTCTTCTTCTTCCTCTTCTTCTTCTGCATTCGTCATCAGCCATGATTAACATGCACTCTCATCTAAGTTACAAACACGATGGAATGTCTAAGGTTGCCACTGTGGCCTCCCATAATTTGTCTCCGTTGGGCCAAATCCCCAACTTCCGCTGAGAGTAATTAGGACAGTCCTGCAGTACGTGCTCAAGAGTCTGTCTGTGTCCAATGGGACCGCAGTGTCCTGTCCAAAGCCTAAAGGGTGATCGTCAATTATCTCTCCCAAAATTAATTTTAAAATTATTGGCCTTTAATTGTTCAGTTGATTGTATTCTGAAGTATTGCTGTCTAGTTGTTCATTTAGTTGTAAATTATCTGTCCCCAGATTAATTCAAATTATTACTCAACTTTTTCTTCAGTTGATTCTAAATTACCTAGTCCCATATTGTGTATTTCTAAATTACCAAGCCCTGTTGTTCAGTTGATTGGAAATTTTGGAACTCAGGTTAGGTAACTAAATTACCTGCCCCATAGTTGTTCACTTGATTATAGAGTATGCCTCCAAGTTAGTCAGTTTAATCTAATTTATCTACCCCATGTTGTGGATAGTGTAAATTATCTACTCTCGTAGGTTGTGCAATTCATGACTTTCTCAGTTTTCATAATTGATTATTTCCCAGACTGTGCCATTTGATTTATATCCCAATTTAAATAACTGATTGTCTCCCAAAGTTGTGTAATTGATTTTAAACATTTACCCTAGAAGTGTGTATATGCTTATCTAATTGATTCTGAGTTATCAGTCTCAGATTGTGTGATTGATTCTAAATCATTTTTCTCAGATTGTATGATTGATTCCAAATGATTAGCCCCACATTGTATGATTGAGTGTACATTGTCTCATCCAGAATTGATTGGTACTCAGTTGTCTGGTCTGAGCTGGGTAATTGAGCTGTCTGCCACAGTTTGTGAGTTGTCTGACTTGGCTCCCATAAATTATATACATTATGTGTGGACAGGGGAAGAATTTACCCACACAGACACACAAAACTCTAATGTTCAAAACAGTATAGCATGTTTGGTAGGCTAGCCCTTGTTTGTACCAGTCAACAAGCCATGTATGGTTGTACTTCTTGCATTTAGTCTTTGTGTGTTAAAAACAAAAATCTGGTAACATAGTAGTCTTATACAAAATGAATACATCGGGCCTATCCTTTGACTTTGTTGTTGTCATACTGTCTCTCTCTCCCCCCCCCCCCCCCCCCCCCTGGAGTATCAGCTGTTACCTTCTGGACTAAATGATACATTGATATGTGGTACATTCTTTATTATTGCAACCATATATGGTAACCAAATACTAAAAACTGCAAGCACATATTAATGCTTGTAAACAGAACATTATTTTTATATCTTGATCTTTTATATGTACAATTAACATATTAATCTACACATATGCTTGGGTAACATCATTTAGCTTGACAGCACAAAGTTAATCCAGATTTTACTTTGGCTTTAGCGACACATTGCTAACATTGCCTTTGGTGCTGGCAGTATTTTTTTCTTTTGTTTTCTATTGTGGGTGTGAAAGTTGTGTAGTACTATCATCATCATCATCACTGTGTTAAGCTTCTGTGGGAGTGTCGACCCATCACTGTCGTCAGTTGTTGGCAGGGAAAGATCTATCATTATAGTAATTGTTCTTGGTTTTGTTTTCTGTTGTGAGGTTGCCAGGTTGAATAAGGATAGTCGGTTCCTGAGTATTTAAAAAGAGTTTTGGCAGGTTTTTTTTTTTTAATGTGTGTTTGATTATGGATATGTTAGTCATTTTGATTGCTCTATATGTCTGATGTTTCATGTAGATGTCTGGGTTTTTTTGTTTTTGTTTTTTCTCCCCAACTTTTTATGTCTCTTTGTTTTGTTGACCAATCTTTCACACTTGTATGTGTGGCCAGGGGTCACTTTGTTAACTGTTTAGGCAACCAGTATGTGTTTTCTTACTGTCTTCCAGTCTTTCGGCTTCTCTGGTGTTACAGGAATTAGTCTATTTTTAATGTCATTACATATTTATTGGTGGTCTTTGTCAGGAATTTTTGGTTGTGTACAGAGTAATAAATGTTTGGTTACCTTGGAAATTCACCACCATCACCATCATCATCATCATTGTTCTGTTGTGCCATTGTATATGAATCTAGCCCAGCAGCTTTGGTCTCTCTCGTCATTGGTAATTGTAGGCTTTCTCCTCATTTTGTCATCTTTTTTATTTCCCACTTCAGTGCTTTTTGGTAATTTTATGTTGGCTTCTTCTCAGGATGTGCTCAAAAAAGTGCCATCTTTGTTATCTCATCAGTGATGAAATCATTGTTGTGCACACATTTATTTACCTGTCTTGAATAATCCCATTTAATGTTCATCAGTTTGTTTGGGCACTTGTTTCTGAATGTATTTGACTTTCACTCAGTGTTTTTAGGCTTTCTCAAGCTGTCACTAGCATAACCTGTCACTTGGCATTTGAAAACTCCTTGTTGAGATTTTAGCGATTGGAACTTGTGTCTTTAGATTTCTGAGATCACTTGCCTCCGTTTCTTGTATACATGTATCATAAGAGTTAGTCATCTGACTTGTGCTTCATGCATGGTAGTATTCACAGCCTCAGATATTCTACCAGTCTATCATTTGTGAAGGCCTGCCTTCTTGTGTCTGAGTGCTAAATATCTCTATTGGGCAGTGTTTTGTGATATTCTGAGGTTATGACCAAACCATCTGACTTGCTCATAGATAATACTGACACAGGCTGCATTTGCTTGTTGATATCACAAGTCGATTGATTTTGTCTCTTCTCAGAAGGACAGAATATTTGACGAACTGCTTGCCCAGTTCTTAATTCCTTGAAATAAAATGTGCCCGCTCTTTGCATTTGCATTTCCTAGAGGCAGTCCTTTTCTCTGATATCTTTGTGTGTGTAGGAAACCTGTGTTAAACATTGCTGTGTTCTGTGTCAGTGACCCTATAATGTATAAAAGCCCAGCACCGTGGAACCTCATGTGGTTTCAGCGTGGAGCCAGACTGCAACCATCATCACTTGAGATTAGATAGTCAGAGATAGCTCCCAGAGCTGCAGGGTGTGCTTCATGTTATGCCTGTGTTATCATCACAGACATTTTGCATCATAACTGGCTGCAGTTGGAGG